TACTGGAGTAAAAGCCTTTTAAAACTACACATTTTCTGCTGTTTTAATGTAATTTTCAGTTTGTGGAGAGGGTCGTTATGGTCCAAACTGTGGGAGCGAGTGCCAGTGTGAAAACGCAGGGAGGTGCATTCCTTCCACTGGAGCCTGTGAATGTCCAGCAGGGTTTATAGGTGCACGCTGCAACATCAGTGAGTCCATCTGTAACTTAAATACAAAATATGCAACCAATTATTGTTATAAATGTATTTTTATTATTTATTATTTATCTATAGAATATAAAAAAAGAACAGACTGTACAATTCTGTCATTGACCGATCATTAAAGTTAATCTAATAATGATAGTATGGGATGACCAGTGTCTGTGTTGTCTTGGTACTGACAGCGTGTCCAGCGGGGCGTTACGGAGTGGACTGCGCTCGGGTGGCGCTGTGTGGAGTCGGAGCTCAGAGTGACCCGCTCACCGGACGCTGTGAGTGCACCCCCGGGCGCAGAGGAGACGACTGTGGACAAGGTGAGCACTCAATATTTACATTTTGATTTATTTTGTGTTGTCTTTACAGCAGGATCAATTACACATTTTGTAGGAAACAGGTTAACTACTTAAAACTTCAGTCAGTGCACACATATGCAATAACCTGCACCTGAATAATGGTGTCTTTCATTTTTTTGTAAAGCACTTTGAATTGCCTTGTGTTGAAAGGTGCTATATAAATAAACTTGCCTTGCCTGCCTTGCCTTGTGACTAAAGCTTAGAGATATGATTGAGCGGATGAATGGTTTGATTTGTCTTTTGTTACCAGTTTTTCCTGCTTATATTCAAGTTGGAGGACAATAATCTTATACAAATATAAGAAAAGATAAATAAATAGTTGAACTATAGTGAGGAGACAAAGCTGACTAATTGTATAACTTAGGAACTTTAGAATTGGCTTCAAACATCATCAGTCATATCTCTGTCACCTCTGGTTTATCTCTGTCCTGTTGACCTCTAAACGACCTCAGATCTCTAAGATGATAAGCCTTCTGATCATTTAAAAGTCTAGACTCCCCTGTGCAGGTTTCCATTAGTGTCACCGACTCTCTGTGTTCACTGTGATGGATGATGTAGGTCGGGCAATTTTCATGCCTGTACAAGTCGTTTTTCTTACTGTACAAAAATGAATAGCAGCAAATGGCTCCTTCTGAAGAAAACAATCTTCTGGCATCTGCTGGTACAGTTAAAGTTACTGACAACAACAGGAAGTATTTTTAATGAGGGAAAACAACTATTCTGAACCTGTTTTGAGTTGTCTGTTTTGATAAGAAAGCCAGATGTTTTCTGCGGTTTAGTTTGACGGTGTGTTTCCTCCCTCAGGCTGCCCTCCAGGCTGGTTTGGATTGGACTGTGTCCAACGCTGTAACTGTAGCAACGGTGGGGTGTGTGACTCTGTGACCGGAAACTGTACCTGCGGCCTGGGCTGGACTGGCTCTAACTGTGATAAAGGTGACACACACACTACTATATTTCTTGTGTCTGGATCTCATGGATGTCATTTATGATTTGTTCTAGCATGCTCAATCCAAAATAAGTCACTCATGTAAAGTCATTTTGTTTCTTTTTCTTATGTGTGTTTTTGCTTCCCAGAATGTCCTGCGGGCAGATTTGGTGCCAACTGCCAGCTGAAATGTGACTGTCAAAATAAAGCTACTTGTGACAGAGTGACGGGGATGTGTCAATGTGGTCCGGGCTACTATGGACCTCTGTGTGAACACGGTGAGAACTGAAGGGAAAAACACACACAAAGAGAAACACAAGCATCATTAATGTTTTATAAAGAACAAAACTGTTAACTGATACTAATATTTGTAAATTGTAAGAGTTGTCTGTAGCGAAGGCATGCATAGAGCTTTACTGCTGTTAATTACAGTTACTTCAGGACGCATTTCCTTTATTACAACGAGAGTTGGCAGTGTTGTTGTTTTTTGGGATCAATTATTCCCCTGTCATGCTGTTTACTTAAACAACAAATGCACACTTTGTTATTTTTATTTAATTTAAACATTTCCAATCTCTTTCTTTTTAATTGTTGTCTGTGCACTTTACTTAAACAACAAATGCACAGTTTGTTATTTTTATTTAATTTAAACATTTCCAATCTCTTTCTTTTTAATTGTTGTCTGTGCACTTGTGTAAATTCAGTTAGTTCTAAATATAAATTGTCTCAGTCTTATAACAGTGATTAACCTTGATCAGTGTCCTAAACTATACTATGTTGGGTCCTTAAATTGGCATGGCAAGTCCTTAAATGGTATGTTTATGAAGGTGTGGGAACCCTATTTTAGACTAAATTATGAATCCAATAGGAACAATTAAAACCATAAAGGTCATCCTGAAATCATATCCTGCTAATCCCTCGCCCTCAGCCTGTCCTCCCGGTCTCCACGGCCCTCTGTGTCAGCTGCAGTGTGACTGTGTGAACGGAGCCTCCTGTCACCCAGCGTCGGGACACTGCGTCTGTCCTGCAGGATCCCGCGGAGCTCGCTGTCACAGAGGTAAGTCACATCACAGCTGATCACCACAGAATAATACCAGGATCGAGGGGAATTCTCCGCCTAATGTGTCCTCTGTTTGTTCCTCAGTGTGTGAGCAGGGGACATACGGTCCTGGCTGTGCCAAGCTGTGCGACTGTGAAGACGACGCTCCCTGTGATCACGTGACAGGAAGATGCCTCTGCTCCTCCGGGAGGACTGGACTCAGATGTGACATCGGTAATGTTCTAGCAATGTTCTGTTTTTTTTAGATGTAATTATCGTTTAATTAAATGATAGTGAAATACAGAATCTAAATAAAAAGGATGTCCTGTAGGAACATCTCAATTTAAACTATATAGCAGTGCAAGTAAACCAAAACCAAAAGATGCGGTTAAACCGAACACCTTGATTAATTTAGACGAGGGGGAGATTTACAATTGGTTGTTAAGAACAAAGTATCTTATTATTTTTGTTTGTTAATTTTATAGTTCAATCTTGGAGGATGCTAACCCAGGAATTATACCTTTTAGGTGTGTTTCTCTGGTATCAAAGACATAGGATTCATTTTGTGTAAAAAGATAACATTTGGTTAAAATACATTTTTGTTAAGGCTAACCTTAGATTGACTTTGAAATTAGTCAGTTATCCATGAATGAGTTTGAAAGAGGTGGGTTGATAAAGCATGTTGTATTGGCGAAAAGCAATGCATTTAATCATCTGTACTTTAGCATAGGTTGGTGTTTGGCCAACCATTTTAATGCATAAAACTGTGGCTGCGAGGGAGTGCGGTCTTCTTTGATCCAGAAGGTTGTGGGTTTAATTTCAGCCCGTGCAGTCAACATGTTATTGTATCCTTGGGCAAGATACTTAACCCTTGGATGCTCCCGATGGCATAGGCAACTGTGTGTGAATATGTATGAATGTTAGCTTCCCTAGAGCAAGTGGTACTGCTCTGTGTTAATGAGGTGTGAATGACTCATAGTATGTAAAGCGCTTTGAGGGGTCGGAAACACTATATAAGCACACTCCATTTACCATAACAGTAGTTTGAAAGCGTTGTCAATATTCTCCTCCTTCTTCCGGAGAGGGACAATTATTATTTCCCAAAAAATCAAACATTATGACGTCTACCTTTGTGTATTTGTATTAAGTTTGTGTTTACGTCTTGTGTCAGACTGCAGAGCGAACCACTACGGGCCTGACTGTGCAGAGACCTGTGAGTGTCACAACAGCTCGCAGTGCGACCGGCGTAGCGGCCGCTGCTCCTGCCTGCACGGCTGGATTGGGCTGTCCTGTCGAGAAGGTAGGATAATGACTAACCATCCGGACTGACACACACTCCTGCTGTCTTATCAGTTATTGTATTCTCCATTGCATCCACATTGACGGCAGGTGCTTTGCTGACCCATGAGTCAGGACAGAAGTGACATTTAGCTGACTAGGTGAAATAAGAGTAAATAACTAAAGTGCTGACAGCGATACGTTCCTGCAGCGCTGCACTTTGTGTCGTGTTTGTTCTGATCAAATATGAATGTGTGCGTTTCCTCAGGTGGACCTCCACGTCTCAACTACGGAAACAGCAGCAGAGGAGACACGCAGCACGAAAACTCGTTATAGCACCTGACTGCAAGACTACAACGAGGACAGATCGACCATGTTTTACTGAAGTGACTCGAGTGAGTGGAGACCTGTGACAGGAAGTTGGAGCAGGCAGCTGGAAAACCTACAGGGAAATAGACTCTCTGATGAGAACTGCAGTTTCCTGTTTGGACCCGAGCTCGATGATTTTTTTTTTTTGGGTGCCTAAGTGTCCTTTGAGCTGTCAGCCTGACCTGCCACAGAGGTACTGTGTGAATTTTCTTGAGGTCAAAGTGGAACGAACACACTTTTAGTCTTCAGGGTTCAAATCCTCAATGACTTTATCCGTAGGGTGCCGTGTCCGGAGATTATGGTTGCGTTTACTGCACTTTTGGTATTTTGTGTTTATATTTTGTCCTTGAAATACCTTTTGCAGGTACTGTGTATAAAATATTATTTTTTAAGGAGATTGCTGGATATGATGCAACCTGAGGCAGTTTAAGATGTCATGACATACCACTACTATGATGTTGTGTTTTAATCTATACAATATGAAGTATAACCTCAGTCCAATGGTGCTATGTTGCTACAGTGCAACAAAGACTATATTGATATTCAGACATTTACCGTTTAATATCAAAAGGGAGCACATTCCTAAATATGCCTTGACACAGCTGGAATTTTACAGAGTCACTAAGGATTACACATTTATATGCACCTTATTTGGCGTTAAGTCTAAATATTTTATGTTGTGTATAAATTGCTTCATATTTATATTTCTCACAGTTGTATACAATTAAATATACCGCAAGTTTAAAATGCATTGTTTGGTTTCCAATGGATAAAAGTGACTTTGCAGCTTTACCAAATTCACACCCAGAATATTTTACACCAATAAAGACACACAGATGTTTGTTTACCATTCTTATTTTATCATTATTTCATTTTCATTGAAGATCAAAGCTGTACATCATGTCTAAATTTAAATTCAAGCACAGTGCAGATAGCAACGCCTGCAAAAGAAAAATAAAGAAAAGAGAAAAGGCAGAGGTGACCACAACCAGAAATATATACAAAGGTCAAACTATGTACAGGAGATACCAGGCTCTCACTACGTCATTTTCAGAGTGAATTCAGTCCGATAATGCATTCACTTCAGAGCATTCCTCATACACAACACAAAGAAATTGCTTATTTTTGTCAGTCTTAAACCAATACAATACTGATAGGAAAAATGCAGCATCATAAAAAAAAAAAAACTGTTTTCTGATTCTCTCTACTGCATTAAAGGCTAAAACATAAAAAATATATTCTCTGTATAACCTACAACCTTCTGTAAAATAAGCTCTGTTCATCTGGGGGGCTGGTTTCATTTCTGATCTAGTCATTAACATGTTAGAACAGCAAATATGCAGAAACTAGACCTCTTAAAGCATGAATTTCTCCTACACAGGCGAGGGCACCAGCTAACAACACTTTAGCCTTAAACATTAAAGAGTTATTTCTACAATGTGCAGAAACCTTTTACACCAAGAGATCTTTGTTGGGCAGGTCAGCACGATGTGAAATAACACTGATGGTCAAACTAAATGCACAGCGATACCATTTAAAGGGAAAGTTTGACATTTTAGGAAATGCACTAATTGGTTTTCTATGTTAGTTGGACTCAACTGATATCACACATCTGTACAGTAGATATGATGCTACAGCCAGCAGGCGGCTAACTTAGCTTAGCATAAAGAACTGGGAACAGGAAATACAGCTAGCATAGCCTGTATACAGTCTGCCTACCATATATATATAGGCTATATATATATAATTTTGTTATTTTATTGCGGTGTTTTTGAGGTTGGTTTCCCCTACCTTTAAAATGAGATATGTTATGTTGATTATTGAGCTTTAGAGTAGCTGGTAGGTAGATGAGGTGGTCGGACTAGCTGTTTGTGTTTTCAGACTTAATGCTAAGCTATATAGCCTGCTGCTAGCTGTAAGGATATTCAGCAGACAGATATACATATGGTGTCAACATTTTTTTATTTGAACTCTCAGTAAGAGCATAAATAAGCGTATTTCTCATAATGCCGAACTTGAAGTCTCAGGACGTCCTCCCAACTCCCTGCAGTGAAAGGTACTAAGACACAGGAACTCCACAGACTACATTAACTAAAAGTTCTTTGCTTTTCTTTTTTTTCCTCTTTTGAGAAAACACTCAGACACAGCAAATCAAACGTATACAGGGATCAACTAATACAACAGGCTAAAGCAAGGGATACGTTTAGTTGCTCCCCTCCCCCCCATACAAACAAACAGGATCAACAGCAGAGACATGAAATCACATTGTTGCTGTTAAAAATCACCTAGGAGGACTCGAGGAGCAGACCTCGTCTGCACAAATCCTGCACAATAACTCCCACTTCATTCAAGTCAGCATTTGCATTTAAATTACCGTTTTCTTCATGTGTTTATTTGTTCTGCTAAGAATCAATATTAATCAGCGGTTAGTTAAGATTTGTTACCTAAACGTCTTTCGTAAGCGGAGTAGCATCACCTCACTTGTCCCGTAGGTGCTGTAGGCTGGGTGAACAGGGGTCATGCTTTGAGGATGTAACATGCTATCCACTTGTGCTTTAATCACAGTAAGAGAGCACCCAAAGGAGAAACAATGATATAGGGCCGTGTCAAAATCTGCAATAATATTTCTGACACATCTCAGGTTGTAGGCTATGTTGCCTGAAACAAACCTTACCAATCCTAAAGCAGTTAGCTGTACTTATGCATTCTGTATATGAAGGACATATTTGTTAACTACTGTAGTATAACAGTGTGATCAAGTAAAGATATATATATATATTTATATGGAGTCAAGTCCATACCGTTGATAGATAACAAGCTGGACAGCACATGCGCCAAGATGACTTCTATAATCTTGCAGGAAGTGAGTGTGAAACCCTCGGGTGTCATCAAAGAGAGATGAAGAAGAAGAGGACGATCTTTGGATCAAGCCACGCTAAATTTTCACCGGTCCTGCCTAGTGTCTGAACGAGAAAGAAAGACAGACGAGTAAATACAACCTCCTGACCGTGTGCATGCCAACACACGTCTAAAACCACCTGCTCTGTTCCCTGAGCTGCTGCCACGCACTGATTCACCGGACACTCCACCACCGCCTCCAACTAATGCCACCTCCACCAGTCAGCGTACAGTATTTACTGGGGACATGAAAGGGCAGCTGTTTACACGCCAAAGCCCAGAGCAGAGTCTGATAAAACTGTAAATAAGGCAAAACACTTGAGCAAAATGTGGTCAAGGAGAAGTTTCCATGAGATGTGGAGCCAGCACTGATATATGACCACTTCCTACACAGTAAATCCTCAGCCTGAAAACAGAGAACAGATTCCAGAGGACACAGTGAAGCACAACGCTGCATTCGATTTAACGCGACTGCAGTTTCTACTGATAGGGATGAATGAAAAGCTAATCTCTTCTTTAGTGGCAGACAAGGTGCTCCGACTCGTCGTCACAGACATTTCACAGGTAAAGTCGGAGGAGGAGCCTCATTCCCCCTCTTCATCTAGGCCGCCGCCGACACACTCAAGACAGCAGGAGAGTCGGAGCATCAGGCTGGACCAACGTACCGACAGTGAAGACACAAAGGGAGGATGAGGAGGAGAGCGGATTATCAGGAGATATGAATCTATAGTGCAATGGCTCTGAGATAAGACTATTGTTATACGCATCCTCTCCCCTCCTTAGAACATCCCTCCAACACCTACACTGACAATACTAAAGTGCTGATTGTTAAAGCCCATGGGAAGGCTCGTACACTGACAACGTCGACAACACACACAAAAGACTTTTCAGAGTAACCTTGACCAACTTGTACATGGGTGTTTTGTAAACAGAACGTCCAAGGAACAAATGCATGGCTATGGTACATGTGCAACAGAGTAGTTCTGGTATATTCGTATTAACTTTATCTTCCTTTTAGTTGCATTCAGTTTTAGAAAAAAAAAAAAGAAAGAGAAATCTGGCTGCCAAGCAAGCGTGTGCTTTTTTTAATTTTTTTTTAAAAGGTATTTTTCTTTAAGGTTTTGAAATACGTTCAGCTGAATTGAATGTATAACTGATTTAAGTATGAGCGCATATCCCTAACCTCCACTTTGTCTTTCTTCCTTTCCTGTGGAGGTCACAGTATTTCCCCCCCCTTTTCTTATCTTATCCTTGTAACTCTCTAGAGGCGCCCTGGGTGGCCTTGGTGTGGCCAGCCTCATGCGCCAGGGTCTCACTCAGTAAAAGCTCAAGCAAACAGAGGATCAGGCAAAGGTGGGGCGCTGTCGCTGCATCCCGTGCAGCCCTGCCGGGGTGGGGGGGGGGGCACTGCGCGTTAGGAGCGGTAGTCCTTTTTACTGTACGGCTTGTTCCCCAGGATGCTGTCCACCTCGTGTGTGATGGACGATGACAACTTCGGAAGAACCTGCAACGGGGGATAGACACAAATGTTATATATGTATTTTGCAAAATTAGCTGTCAGAGGTGTTGGACATTGTTTCACAGAGAAAATCATCTGAAATCGTCTGCAGTTGCGTGTCACAGCCTCTAGATAGCACTGAATGGTGACTTTCATTTCTTGTAGTTGCCGCCTAAATTGGGCTGTCCATTCCACTGCAACTTCCAGATCGTAACTTCCAATAAAGAAAACAAAAAACTAGAAAAAGGATTAAACATTTGTTATGCTGATCTGCAGAAAAGTCCCCTTTTCAAATTTGGAGTTTAAAGGAACCTCAGCAGAATGTACCACAGTACTCATTACACAGCAGCATGCTCTAGAATATTTTAGTGTAAGTTCATTTACATAAATACATTTTAAATAGATGTATAGTTTAATTTCCCATTGATCTAATTAAATTAAAACAAATCATTTGTAGAAAATACTTTGTTTTCTAGCTATAGTAGCCAATAATAAAATAAGTTTCAATAAAGGCATTTTATTTGTATTTTATTAAACATGGACTGTGTTGCAATTTCAGCGTGTTTGAGGAAAAATACCCTGTTAAAAGGAAACTGCAGAGCCCTGGGGAAATGTGAGCATAGCATTTCAAAAGCGAAATATCAAATGTGCTGATGGAGAGACAACCTATAGTGTGAACACATCCAGGACACACACAAACACGGGAGCATACACAAAGCACCAGAATATAAAAGAGTAAGAAGGCTTTTGGCTGCAGGCCAGACATAATGTGAGGACAAGATGTAAACCCCCACCGGTCTGAAAAACCCATTAAAAGAGTGCATTTTATCAGGAGAGGAAGAAGTGGCCGTAAGCTCGCCTCCAATCCCCCTGGCAAATGATACTCGGCTGACCTTATTAACTCGGTACAGTAGAGCACCCAAGCGTGCAGCAGCACACAGCCCAGGAGGCCGAGCCGTACCCGGGAGAGGAAGCTGCTGCTGCAGACTGTAAGTCACGAATAGGGCCTTATGAAACGGGTCAAGTCACGTTTTTCCACAAACTCAGCAGCTGATTTGCAGAAAACAAACATGTTTACCATCTCACTTGTGTGTGTAGCCTCACCTGTATCGCTCCTATGTTCTCCATCAGCTGTTCGGTGCTGGACGCCCCTAAAAGGACGCAGCTCACCCCCTCATTCCGTAGGCACCACGCTGCAGGGGACCAGTAAACAGCAATGACATCCAAAACCACCACTTTGTACAAAACACACTCTCCCACAGCGTCACACAATCATATTTACACAACATACACCAGTTTAAAGGAACATAAAAGGCTTCCTGTTGGCAAATTAAATATCGTATAAAACTGTCAGCAAACTCTGCACTCACATCACACAGCATACACAGCCTTTACATATCACAGTAGAAAAACACACCCCTCCACTACAAGAAAATCTCCCCTACTCTTACAGGCAAACGTGTTATCAACCAAATGTTCTGATGTACAATATCATATTTTATTATTATGGATTAACATGTGATGGCAGCATTTTATTGTTTAAGATGGTTGAAAGGAAGCTAACTTCCTATTATATATACTGTTTATATTTTGTATAGTATAGACGCCATATTGTGATCTCTCAGGAAGAACTGACAGAAAAACCTCCTCTGTGTTTGGTGTGATTATTATTGGGATCTGTATTAAGCAAAACGACAGCTCCGAAAAATAGGCTTGTAAGAAGATTACAGGAAAAAGGGATGAAGAATTTAGCTGTAAAAATAGTGGAATTATAATTCTACGCAAATCCTCAACCAGTGTGAAAATCTGGCCAAAGATGACATTTGGAAATCGAGCCCTGAACTTCCCTCAGGTCTCAGATAACATCTCACAACATCTAGTACTAATGGTAACTAATTACCACCAGATTCTCCTGATCCAGCAGCACCAGGCCTCAGTATGAAGCCGAGGCAGGAAGGAGTCCATCATTGTTACATAGTTTTATTCAATACTGGAGTGCCACAGTGATCTAGAGGACGACATGATGGACATAAATCTCCTGTGGTGCCTTCAGGAGCGCTGGAAGGATTTATGCTGGTTGGGGAGATGAGGGTGACTGCTAATGGCCTGTGTAACCTAATCTATGACACTGCATTACTGCGAGGGTGAAAAATCTGCCGTGATCTGTGCAGAGATAGGAGAGGAAGTCCCAGATTTACTTTCCTGAGACGCCTGGCGCTTTAACAGCCCTCCAAGGAGTCGACGTCTTCGAGGGTTCGCACATTCTCATTTTCCTGCCGGGCAGTGAATCCATATCGGCCACTGGCTGGATTTATGTCTGGGTTGTTATTTTAATGCTGACACTGTAGACTGTTAAACACTTGTTAACACCACAGATCTGCAAATGTATACTGTAAACATGTTGGCATTCCTTATGTTGAAGTTTACATTACTGTCTTATGCATTCAAGGGAGAGGGATTCTTGTTTAGTAAGAGATACTGAATTAATTGTGGAAATGTGTCGCTGGCAGACACAGACATTTAAAGATGAATTTAAGTTGAGTTACCTTTTAATGTGCTCGTTCTTAATTTCCTTCATATTCACTTTTTCTCATTTACGCCTGTTTTAAAAAGAACGCTTTTAAAGCTGTTTCGTCACACACACATACGTGACAACACAGCAACAAACAAACAAACCAGACATCTGCCAGAGAGGCGTTGACCTCGGCCCGCCCGAGGCAGAGGGACGGACAGACAGACAGAAAGAGAGAGAGCGGCAGAGTGTATCTGCGTACCGATGGCGAGTTGGGGCAGAGTGCAGCCCAGCCGCTCCGCGATTGCCTGCAGCTCTTTCAACTTCGCCTGCTGACGCCGGCCCTCCTCGCTCAAGATCTTGTCCTTCAACCACTGGTAACCCTGTTGAAAACACAGCACACCTGCTCAAAAACACAGCCCTGCTCACACACCGCTGCCCCGCAGCTCCTGTGTCACCAGGGCCTGTTTTTAAACATGTGACTCTGTCTCACGCTATCTAAGCCTCAGTCAGGGAAACACACCTAGAGCTATGATTACTTAAAATATAAAATTACAAAGTATTAGAGTAAAAAATGTAACTGACTAATACTGTTATTTACAAAAAATTCAATCCAATGAGTCAAAACAGTATTATATCCAAAAAGAGAAACAAGGATCAGAAATGATACCATTATGCCATTATTAGAATATGATTAACCACTTAGAATAATCAAAGAGCCAAAATACCACAAACCACAACACTGAACCAGACAGGAAAATGCACATTCCACACAAGTCACCAAAAGTACTACACAACACCAACACGGAGAACCACTACCTCTACTCGACAGTCACTGACACACAAACTACAGATACACAACATCCAGCGCACACACACACATCGTTGCATTGAGTCAGTTTGCTTGGAGGAGAAGTTGTCTCTGACTCAAGAATTACTCTACTTTTTCAATTCTGGATCTCAAAATGTAGTTTTTAGTTTTTGTATTTTTGTATTTCTAAAGCAAAATGTGTCACTACTGTATAAAGTAAAATATTCTGCTTGGTTTGTGTAAACTGAATGAAATCATTAGAACCGGTTCTCTTCTCATTGTAAGGTTCCTTTGTGCTTGAAAAGTCTAAAAAAAAAATAGGAGTTGCTTGGAATAACAGGAATTGCTTCATGATTCATCTACCAATTGAATTATTCAATTCTAGATAAAAAACAAATGCTTGCATACATAGTCTCAGATTGAAAACAAACTACTTAAAACATTATGGACCTGTTTTGTCATACATGTTGTGTGTTTATCTCATGTATTGTGCGTGCAAGCGGTGATGAACAGCACTGCTCGGGAGAGATGCAGAGTGCATGGCGTCAACCATGGCACTGAAAACACAGAGACATGAGAGAATGCACAGAGTTACAGAACCTGAAAGACACAACACACACAATAAGCAAACAGAACAGTGGGAGAGACAGAACAGTGACACCAGTGCAGATGATCCGAGCGGGAAAAACACAAAAAAAACATCCAGCGACATTTGTCTACCTTCAGAGAGGCCCGTGAGTAGGGAGGCACCCTGCCGTCATATTTCCCTGAGATGATCCCACAGGCCAGAGGCGACCACGTCATGGCCCCCACCCCTGAGAAGACAGACATGTGATCGTCAAGACACTACTGTAGGACTCTCTGAAACCATTTCTGTGCAAATTGGCATTTAAGACAAGGCATTTATTTTTGTACAATTTGTGTCACCTAACATCTGGAAGACCTCAGCCAAAGTCTACTCCTGCTCACCTATCTTATGGAAGAGCTCAGGTAGCTGCACCTCCACCTTCTCTCTCTGGAACATATGGTACTCAGCCTGCTCACAGATGGGAGGAATCTGGTTGAATTGTCGCGCCACCGAATACGCTTCCTAAAGGAAAAAGGACAAATTAACCTCATATACTATAAAGATTGAACATCAGGAACAGGTAGGATACAGCAAGGGTATGTTTGGAATTATAATCTGCCCCGAGTATCCCTGATTATATTGGATCTTTGTCCACACCAAGTCTCACCATTATCTCCATCGGGCTCCAGCGGGAGGTTCCCCAGTACATGGCCATGCCCTGGTTTATCACATGGGTCATTGCTCGAACCGTTTCTGTAAGTAAAAACACACAAACATGTAAACAACACCATCAATGCACCATCAGAGTCACACTGTTGTGTTTGTAGAAATGCATTTTCGCTTCTCTTCAGTTCTCACACATATGAATCAGACAATGTCCTGAGAGCCTGCTGCATGTCTATCTGAGCCACTTGTTCTGTAATATTATAATGTGTGTATTTGATATAATTTGCAATCCAAATTGGCTAGGCCATTCAGGAGAGAAATAGGAGACCGATTATGTTAATCAGAATGGTGAGCAATTTATTCAGATGAGGATGACAGCTATTCATAACACGGCACACTTGAATGGCATTATTGTAGAGAGATATTTGTTATCTACATCATGCTACAGGGCTACAGAAGAGGAGCCCAGTGAAATAATGAGGACTATGATGGTAAGATGGTTCATTGACAGGGCGTGTTCATGAAGTTTTGTGCTGAATGAATGTTTCACATATTCTGATGTTTTTCCTTTCACTCACACTATATTTTATTTGAGGACATCAGATAGGAATTTCATTTTACAGCCAAATCTGAGCTTGTGAGACAGCAAATGAAACATCACATAACCTGACTTTAATTTCCGTCTTCTTATCGGTTAGAGTATCAAGAAAAAACACGAAGCATGTATGATAACAAGAAGAGATTCCCAGAGAACATCAGGGAGCACCAGAATGTAATAATGAAGTCCCTAAATAACCCTCCACCCATCCATCTGTTCACCTTGCTGATGCAGTGTTTCTAAAAGTCTCTCTGACAACCCAATCAGCCCTGCTTTCATCTAGTGGGCGCTTGGCTTCAGAGGGTTTCTCTGTAAACTGACAGAACAGCAGGTCACCACTTCTTCACCCCATACACACTACCCTTTAGCTTCTGCCAGAATCAAATTCAACAGATGGTCCAACAACTGTGGTTTTAAAGAAATGGATGCAAAGCTGTCAATGCAAATTGTGGGCAATCTTTAAAGGGCAGATCAGCAAAATAATTGCCTTGACTTTTAAATCAAACAACACCAACTACTTCTGACTAATCAGACACTGAAGTATTGCCTCCACTTTGATGCTTCCACAGTGAAGCATCAAAGTGGAGGCAGGAAGACGACCTGTGACCGATCTCTGTAACCCGAAGGGGGAACTCTGACTCAGGAGCAAATGCATCCTGTGTGACCAGCTGAGCCCACACACAGTTAGCACTCTGCCATTTAAAGGTCTGCAGCATCAGTATCTACACTCATTCTGACTGTGGAGGAGGATGCACCAGGACAACATGCAGCATTTCAAAATAGATATTTCAGTTACAAGAGGTTTGTGAGTCTTTGCATTGCAGTAGTCATAGAGACAGAAAAGAGGGGATTTATTTTAATGTGCATATTACAAAATTAAGGAAACATGTTTGCGGGAATGGAAACAAAACATGTGATGATTCAAAACCATTAAGGATAAAGTAGAGACAATAGAAACATTACCTTCCATAGGTGTGTTAGGGTCCGGTCTGTTTGCAAAAACCACATCCACATATTCTAGCTGCAGTCTTTCGAGAGAGGCTTTTAAACCTGGAAATAAGCAACATTGTTAGTAAAGTGGTATTGAACCTCTGCTGCGCCACATTATTATGCTCTTCATACAAAATTAAACCAATATACTGACAAACAAATAAAGGAGGTGTTTCTTTAATCATTAGTGGTATGAAAAAGTTTTGTTGGGACCCCCAGAGTGTGTAAATTGTTAAAAATGTAGCCTTTATCCCTTTAACCCTCCTGTTGTCTTCGGGTCAAATCTTACTACTTTCATCAATCATAACTTTTTTGTTTTACATTCGATTGCATTAAGGCTTTATGATATCCTTCACAGTAGACATTTGAACATATTAAATAGCTGATCACCTCTTTCATTCAATTTTGGATGAGTTAGTCAACTTTGTAACACCCATGGTGTTCCCGGTCAAAAATGACCGCCATAAAGAAAAGGAATTAGTAACCATCCGGATCAGATAAAACACACACACAAACACCCACACCCACACCCACACACACACACACACACACACTCTAGATGTGTTCCCCCCCCCCTTATGTGCCCAATCCCCCCATGTGAATCATACCTGGCACTCACAAACACACACACACACACACACACACACACACACACACACACACACACACACACACACACACACACACACACACACACACACACACACACACACACACACACACACACACACACACACACACACACACACACACACACACACACACACACACACACACACACACACACACACACACACACACAACAATTTGATACATTTCCCGCTCTTATGTGCCCATCCCCCCACATGGATCACACCTGGCAAACGCAATACATGTTCAGTGTCTATTCTTTGTATATTTACTGCAGTTTTTCATGTATACCAGTAGTCTGAAACAATATTTACAGTTTGAAAGGGTGTTCAATTACATTTGGTGATGATGAATTTTTTGTGTTAATGTAATAGCAGTTAAAACAGGACCGGTCAAATTTGACCGCAAACACCAAAGTAAGGGGGGGAAAACGAAGACAATAGGAGGGTTAAGCCAAAAATATCGAATTAAGACATTTTTTTTGTTGCAGTGTCAGCATTCAACACAACAACCTGTGGCGCTGCTACTTACCTTCTATAATGTGTTTTCGAGATAAACCTCTTTCAGTCTCCGCTCTAAAGAAAAAAAGAAATACAAACAATCACTTTCAATATGACTGGACCTGCCCCCTCTGCGATGACATACTATTAGCAAAAGAACCTGAAAACAGATTAGTTTGGATGAAACATGATCCCATTACCAGGAGCATCAACCAGAAAAACAATAATGCAGGAGGATCGTTTCACATTTGAGTCAAAGCCGCAGCCAGAAGAAACTTACTTTCCACCCCAGAAGATTTTTGTTGTTATCACAAAAGTTGAACGTCTGAAAAAGCAAAAAAGAGAGCACATCTGTTACAACAACTGGCACACACTGAGAATTATAGCATACGCCTCCAACGTAATTCCTTCCTATTAGATACCACAGTAAAAAACTGTACTACAACATACACTCTCTTATTAACATTTGCATATTTGTTTTGAATAACAAGTCAAACAGGTTAATTCCCCCTGTAATACATATTTAATTTTAATGTGAAAACATCTCATTGAACCAACTGTATTTATACATATATTAGCCACAAATACATTTAATAAGATTACACATCATGATAATATTGAAAATGTGTCTTTGCCCTGTAGTATTTTTTACTGAATAGAGCGGGTAAGCATCATTATGTTACTTAATCGAACCTAGCTTGCTTAGCTAACATTAGCTTTGTTATTTAGCCAAGCAGGACAAGGCAGCTCACCTTATATTACATGTATTAAACAGCTAAGATGAAAAGCTCTGACACCTCCTTTAGGCAATCATGCATTTCTTTCTATTCTATCAGTGTCACACACCTCCCACAATAAATGCGATTGTGCCAGAACTTGGCAACTAATGAGTGTTGGTAGGTATATAACTTCACAGAGCTCTATACAAATGTCAATCCAGGACTGAAAAGGTAGAGGACAAGGCACTAAAAGTTCATCCATTATTCAGCTTCTTTGAGGGGGGGGACACAGGAGAGTGGGCATGGCAAGGCTGCCCGCATTAATCTTTCATCTTCTTACCTTACAGTTTCAATTTGCAAAACACAGCCTCCCAATATGTGCAAGGAAGTGGATGGTATGAGATTAGGGAGGCTGGTTGGAACGGAAATGAAAAAAATACTCAATATGAGTGTGTCTCATACCTCCATCCTTTCTTTTTTATGATGTTTCCGAGCACCACCTCTGCCCTGTGAAGCAGACAGAGAGAAGATTGAATAAAGATAGTTTTCAAATGATAAGAGCGTTTAATCCTGACTGCATGAGGGATGATTTTAAATCAAAGACAGCAGTCCAACTTTGCAAACATACTGTATAATGCATAAAGGGTGTGTGTGTGTGTGTGTATGTGCGTGCGTACAAGTGTGTGTTTGACTAGCTGTGCTGTGGGGCCACCAGTATGTCACTCAATAGCAGCCACAGGGTGCTAATGAGTGACATTAATATCAACATGTGGCCTATCAGAGCTGGGCTGAAACCTGTCAGTCCTTCCAGTCCTCTAACTACGACCAATAACAAGACACCCCCTTAAGCACAGTCTCATAAAATGTATTTAGGTTCTCCTTAGGAGGGTTCAATTTGGATGCACTGATTATTAAAGCCAGCTGCAGTTTTCAAATAAATGTTTTTGTTGTTAGAAGTGTGGAAAGACTACAATGTATTTCACCTATGATCTGTTAGTGCTCCTGCCAGTGGGAGTGTGTCTGTGCAGAGACAGTATAGGTGGTGGTTCTAGTAATCAGATCCTCATTTATAGGATCAGTTAAATACAAAATACAAAGTATTTGTGAGATACGATCACGTGTACAAATGGTACTTGGACTGGACTGCTAGATTAACACAATTTTAAAGGAAAATCCTGCCACCTATTTTAATAAATAGGTAATATTTTCATTTTTTTTAAGCAGATCTTCCAAATATTCTCTAGTGTCAGCCATCCCAAACCCCTCTGCCTTGCCCAGAAACAGTGATGAGCATTTCACAATAGTTTACTAAACAATACATTAATTAATTGTAAGTTGCAACCCTGGTCTGGTTAGCGGGCAAGTTGCCCTGGAGTTAGATCCAAAGACAATTAGCTCTAATAGTTCATTTGAAGTTGACGTTTATTTAGAAAGCTTTCACATTTTCTGAAATGTTATGAGGGCAAAAAAAGTTTGAAGGGAAAATTATAAAATTGTTAATATATGTGCTATAGTAGTAAAATGTTGCATGTGTGTTTTTTATTTATTTAATCAAATAGGAGTACTTGAAAGGTAGCAGCACGAGAACAGTAGGTGCTGAACAATTACCAGCTGTTTCAGACCCTGCCAGCTGGGCCCAAAACATTTTTTTAACCAACAAGCACTCAAGCGTTCACCTGAGAGCAATATTGTGTGTGTGAGTGTGCACGTGTGTGTGTGTTTCGCTGGCAAACACCCACACAGTGCACAGTGTGTTGGCCTCCTGAAATGTGAGTAATTTGAGCCGAAACATAAGGTACAGTGCGCCTTAAGCAGGCTGACTTTCTGTACCCATCTATTAATTAGCTATTTATTCCAGCGCAGAGTTGATGTTATGACTGAAGGCAGAAGCCAATGACACAATGCTGCATTATTCATGCGTTTACAATATACTTTATTACTTTCAGATTTCTATGGAATTATGCATCCAATTTGTCAGTGGTTTCACACAATATCATGCAATTAATGTGCATCTAGTGGAAATGTCTAAGCCTTAAAAGAAATGAAGAAGGAAATTCTGTTCTGCCAATTAGTCGCATACTTTAATTGCTTTCACGCCATATGTCTTTGCTGATAACAGCAGCTCAGCGGGACACGCAAAACATGTTTGTTTATGCAATTACATGTTTTATTTATATTTCCGAGAAACACAACATACTGCATATTTGGACTGATACGCTGGTTTAGAATCCCAATCAATATATAAACATGTGTATGTGCTGAATGTTTATCTTGTGGCAGTTTCTCTGTTTTGTTGGGCAAAGCCAGAACAAACATGGCATCAGCCAAACGAGAAGTGTGAGCACAGCTTACAGACCTTGTTTATCGGTCCATGCTCGCGACACATAACCAACATTACAGCTGCTGACTGCACAGCCACCAGCACCACTTCACGTTCTCTAAGTCTTACTGATAAAGGAATCACAGTAGCACCAAGGACTTCACATGAAAGCTATTTTTTTCATTCTGAAGTGTAAATTGTGTGATTTGTTTTATTCCTGGGTTTGTGTGTAATATAAGCTCCTCAGCGCAGTGGAAGCTGTCAGGATTAACACCTGTGCAACATATATGGAGCTGTGTGACATGGTATCACAAACATTTGCACGTGTCTAACGGATTTGTCCTTTCTGTCAAACTGTGGTTTGTGTTATTGACGCGCGATGATCAAAGTCACAGGCGGTAAAACTTCTGTGTCAAAGTTTTTCTGACCCACCTCCTAAAACACCAAGGCAAACATGTTGTTGAAAGCCCCCCCCCCCCCCCCGAACAATAAAGCATGTACTGGTGACATTTAGCAGACAGCAGCTGCTGGAGCATTTGATGAGAACATCGCTAAGACTTACTGCATGATTGTCTTTTTGTTTTCTTTTAATTTACTTTTGTGAGACACTCTGATGCGTCTACCCAAACATAACAGCAAAACTAGGATATTCTTGGAAGGATTACAATATGACTTGCTGCTGTTAATCAGAGATACTGTTTGCAAAGGATAATCCCTTAAGATTATTTCAAAGCATCCAAGTTACTACAAAGCCAGATTAATCCATGTTGGAATATGAACCATCACTACATATAGCAATAAGGCAGTGCAAGGCGGCTTTCCGAGGTTAAAAATATCAACAGTGGCTGTCCTGTAAATATAGACAGAGACTATGAATGTCTGAACCGTCATGAAGGCAACAACGACATACTGTAGTGTTGATGATATATAATAATAAACCTTAATACTAGGTCGAAAATCAATTATTCATTTTCTGATCTTGCTTTTTTCTCTCTCTGCACAACCTACAGTAGTACCAGGTCATCAACAACGATTTTCGGTCTTCTGCCTTCAGCTCATGCTAATGTCTACAGAGAGTAATTTGTATGGATGCTCACATCAGTATATTTGTAGTTCTCATTAGCATGTTTGGTGTGGGCAGTCCAGTACATGTTGTTGCTATGTGAACTGTGGGACAGGATATACTTACTTCCCAGCAGCGTATACCTCCGCTGTGTCAAACAGATTGATGCCATTTTCATAGGCCAGAGTCAGTAGCTGCTCTGCCATCTGTTGAGAGATCAGGGGAGAAGGAAAGGATGGGGTGAGATACCACCAATATGAGGTGTAAGAAGATTTGAATTATTACATTTCCTTTAAAGACTAAAAGAAGGCTGAAAAGCTTTGCCTTCCTATAACATGTGTTTATCCTCTGGCTATTGACTCGCTATGGCAGTATGTTTCAACTATAAGTAAAAATAGGCTTCTCGAGCAACGAAGGATATGCCAGATCATGTGGAGGGTTTCCAAAATCCATCTGCTCTCACCTCATCTGTTATCTGTCCGCCGAATGTCACCCATGTTCCTACAGAGGTCGACAGGGAGGTGGGGTCAGAGTGTAAGTACATAATCACATGTACACACAGAAGAGCAAGTGAACAGTAATACTATATTCTCTGCAAATAGTGTAGAAGAAACAAGCCATTTCTGCAAAGACACTAGAACTTTCCACTGAATGTACTGATTTTTCTCTCCCCATTTAAAGATAAGAAACGTTCATGAATGAATGCCCCTCACAAATCTGTTGAAGTATTTGGTTATGCAGCAAGCTTCTCAGTGTGTGTCAACATCCGAAAAGACTCTTACCTAATCCAAGGCAGGACACACGCAGGCCCGACTTCCCAAGGTTTCTGTCAAAACAGAGAGAATTCAATTCACATTATGCAGCAAGGAGGTGGTAGTCATTTGTGATATTTTGCACTCCAGCAGTGGCTATGACCATGAGAGTAGGATTTTAGGCCTCATTTTAAAACTGAGATATTGATAGATACATATATGAATACAAATAAATATCACTCTTCTGTTATGTGAGGAACACTTTTGACTGCAAGCTTGTAAAGAAAAACAGGGAGTGGTATGGATTTGAAGGCAGCCTGCATCTTCTGCAGTACTGCCACATGTATGTTGGATGTGTAAGGTGGGCAAGTCTTCTGACAATGACAATATGCGTGTATGTGTGCAGTGAAATGTCAGAGGAAAGCGGGAGAGGAAGTGAGTATTAAACGGGACCACCATGACATTCAGTGAAATTTCTCACAGCACACCAGGATCCCTCAGCCGCCATCTGACTAAAATCCCCCGCAGCAAAGAGGAAGCTTGACTACTCACAACAACTTGCTCCTTAAGCTGGCGTCTCTGAGCCTATCACCGTGCAGACAGACCCCTCTGCTGACAATCACAGCTTTGGTTTGGGCTTTGATTCTTTTGTGCGAGCTTTGAAACTTTCCTAAGTTGTATCTGGATCCTAGTCGAACGGCAACTCTAAAAAAACTGATCTGTTTGAATTAGTTGTTTTATTTTTTGTTTAACTCTTGGATTGATATTCAGACCTTAAATGTTCCGTTTCATCAGATATCACAGATCTAAGAAATGATTAAACGTATAAAGGAAGTGAACTACTTCTGGTCACCCTTCTTTAACAGATTAGCTGGAAGCGTAAAGAGATAAAAGAAATGCGGCATAAGAGATGATGTAACATGTGAAGGAGTTAAAGTGAGCGTGTGGGAGGATATCTAATACTTTTTTATAAGACCGCCTGTATAGAAGTAAAGTTGAAATAAAAAATGGGTGGTGAAGTGTGTGTGTGAACATGTGTGTGTTATATGACTGTGCTTGTGAGTGTGTAAGTGTGTGTGTGTCTGTTTGTGTGGGTGTTTTGTGAAGGAATGGTAAGATTGCTGAATTGCTGCTGTGATTTACAAAACATTTCATTCAACGTGGTCTGAACACAGAGTCCAAAAAATCTGACTAAACCTTTTTAAAATAGATATGCAAATCTCCATCTGTTAGTAGGCTAAGTGGACTACATTCTTGTTGTAGTGTAACCACAAAGGGATCTCGCAATGCTTTAAGATTCTTTTTTATGTATTTCTGTATACCTTTTTTTTTATTTTGAGCTAATCCAGTTAAATGTTCACCTCATCATCCAGCATCATCAGTTCCACTCTTACTTCACTGAACCACAATGGATGCTAGTAGAGTCTGTTTTTTTCCTGACTCAATTTTCAAATCACAGCAAAAATCAACCCTAAGAGATAGCGTGATACTGAAAAAAATACTGAAATCCTATCAGGTTTGTTTATTTTGAAAGTAACGCATTTGGGTCAAACCTACTCCCAACAAAGCATCACATTAAAAGGATGCGATCTGGTCAGTGAGGTCTGTAATCGTGTTACAGTTTGAATCCGAGGGCACGATGACGTCTTGTATAGGACCCTGCTCACTTATAAGCAAACAAAGTCATGAGGGAGATGAGAGGAGGATAAGAAAATCCAGTGGGAGCACGTGCACTTACTGCGGTGACAAGGTTAACACAAGTCCCCTCTGGCTAACAACTGGAGCAGATCTACAATCAACTGCCTCTTAATTGCATGAGTGAAATAACCCCTGGGGGGGGGGCAGTGTCGCTTAATGTCACAAACAGTTCAGTCAGACAACTCACATTTGAAATGTTTATTAACAGCAGCATATAGAGTAATATAGTTAGAGTTTGGCGTATGGGCTTTAGCCCCCTCACAGATATATTTACAGAGAATATTAAGGAGTGATGATTTAATAACGTCCACCCCCGAGCATACAGGTGGATGCTGGGGTGGAGGCCCAACATTCAGCTTCAGTGCAGTCTTTAGTGTAGAGTGTAGAGTGAGTCTGAGTCTCTTTCAAGCCTTACACTGCTTCAGATTTACACATCTGATGTGATTGAGTGTTTCTTAATGTTAAGAGGTGCACTAGCATGTTCACAAAAAGAGATGCATATTAAACCTGTCTAATTAGATAAACTAATCCCAACTATACACACATGCTTCTAGTGTTGCAGCATTTTCAGCTGTGTGAATGTGTAAGGGTTGCATAAGCATTCTTTATGAACACTGCACACACAGTACCATTGCATTAAAGCACTACGCCTAAATATAGGTAAGCAGGATATCAGAATACAGAGCTCTGCCCTTGCCATTGTTCTCATTGTAGAATGTCCCTTTTGTCAGCACATTGTTGCGATCAATATTTTTACTAGACTGGCCTTGAATAGTGCATTGTGCATTGCTGCAATGACCCTCTGCCAGGCAGAAGCAGGCGGGGGTCAGGTTCCCGCTTAGCCTCAGCAGACATGGACCACAACAGTGAAGTCATCCCTCTCACACCCCCAATGATAATGAAGGAGACAGGCACAACGCAGGACAGCAACACCAATGCAGCCGCAGGGACAAAGCCTGATGAGACATGAAATGACCATAGCACATGTCCAGTTGTTTACTTTGGAATACTAGATAACCTCATGTTAGTGTATTGATTAGTGGTGGCTTTGTCTTGATCTACTGTATTTAGGGCTTGTTTGCACACAGGCCACATTTCACTTCAGCTTGACACAATGAATCCTGCTGGTCTAAGTTAATCATTCCACTCTGCTCTGACTTTGGCCGCCATTGATGGCACCTGACCTGTGGAAATAGTAGAGTGGTTTTTTTCATTAGGGTCAACATGAGGCAGGACATATCAGAGGTCAGGTCCTTCCAGTCATAGATAATTGATTACTGGATAGTAGATTATTGGGTTATTGTCTTTGAAGTAAAAAATAAAAAAATATGTATTGTCTATAGTCTTGCCAAGAATTACTAAATAAATGTACCATGTCCATTTAGCACCCAAACTTCCCTAACCTTGGGATGAAAGGAATATCCATTCAAGGACATTGAATTAGCAAGAACTATTTGATGCCAATGTTTGACAAATACTACTGACAAACAGTGTATTGAATTGTGTTAATGTAAACACTCTGACATATAAACAGAGATGAAGGTCAGAGCAGCTTCAAACTATTGTGACACAACATCGAACTCTAACTTTACAAAAAGATATGGCCACCTGGAAGGCCACACCAAATACATTTTATACCCGTCATCACGCCTATAATGTTTTAAAACGATGGTTGATTAAGGTATATATATTCACATAGGAGCAGATATACACCATTTCTTTCCAATTTAAAAGAAGTGTGAGACAAGTTTTAGGCAGGACTGCAGGTATGGAGTCGGAAGAGTGGGTGGGAGAGAGGGTTTGAATTCAATGTGAAGTCAGTGGACAGGAGAGACGGGACAGGACAGGGTGATAAATGAGGAAACAAGGTCACAGTGCTGTAAAGAGGAACGTGTTGAGAGATATGTTTACTGGGCAACTATTAATACTACCTAACACGCGGCTTCAAATTCAGAAAAACGCTCAGACAGAATGTCACAAGCTCCTGTTGGCTGCAGGTTTCCTCCATTCAGGTTTATGTAACAAAAGCTGCTCGTGCACATGGACTGTAAAGGAAGAGTTTGTCTAAATCAAAAATAATTCATGCCAACTACCTTCATTATACCCAATTGTTATGAAACAGGATTAAATATTTCTAAATCTAAAATAACCTTCCACCATGAGGCTCTGTACACTTGTTGGCAGCTAGATGACCTTTTCTTTTCAACATTCAAAGGTTTTATTGTCATATGCACAAAGCTACAGTGTAGAAATGGCAATGGAAATCTTATGACCTGAGCACATATATAATAAAACACAAAAATACAAAATAAAAAGTAGTGCAAAAAGTCTATATACCTGTAAATAGAATATATGTTTTTTTTGTAACACAAGATTTTACTTGTTTTAGATTAAGCCCAAGATGAGTTTTGAATGGAGGTTAATGGATAAAGACTGTTTTTAAGTTAGCCAGTTGTCTTGAATTGTCGGACCTGTGCTAATCACTTTTCTTGCAAAGACTTAACATTGATGGAGAAAGAGACATTTAGTTTAGCTCAGTATAAAGACTGAAAACAGGAGGAAACAGTTTCAAATAGATTCAGAAAATCGGTCCTCAAGCGCCTCTAAAGAGAACTAATAAATATGTTATACCCTGATGTCTATGCTGGTTGCATGGAAGCCCTACAGTAAGTGACAACTTAACAGTTGGATTTTTTACAGTCAAATGTCAAGGCACCAAAAAAGTCCAAACCAGCCTCTGACCCTGAATTATCACTCAAACATATATTAACTAGATTTCTGATCCAAGTTCCACCTCTATACTAGTTTAAGTGTTTATTTCCTGTTTTAAAGATGATAACTTCTTAGTCTGAGGAACCCTGCGCCCATTTTTTTCTCACATGAAGTGACTCAATAGAGTCCCGCCCTTCTACTTCCGACCCATGGGACCTTATTTCGGAAAAATAATGTATTGAAGTCAAAGATTATCTTTCGATCCGGTTTGAATTGTGCCACGAATTACACATATGATGTTTGTCAATCTTAAATAATAATTTCCATGTCAAAAAAGTCACAGTTTGTCGTAAAACTGTTGAAATATAAGACTATGAAAAATACGCAACTAGAAAGACTACACATCCCAGAATCCCGGTCCCGCATGCTGGCTCTTACGGAACCGACTAACTCCCCTTGTGTGTATGTACAGCTCTCAACATGCCCAGACTTGTAGTGATTTTCACCTCTTTTAATACTTTTCGCCTCATTCTGAAAGAAAGAAGTGAAATGTGCCAACGTGACGGCCGTCTTGGTGTGTGGTGCGAGACGGGAGATGTAGTTCATTAAGCGGTTCACACCGCTACTGTGTGTTACTTCACAGTTTTACGACACATTTTTATTT